TTACAGAAAGGCGAATTTACTCATACGTCTCAATCCGAGGGATAAACGCACCGCAAACCTGCATTTAAGACGGTTTAAAATCGACATTTGTGATACCATTTACCACATGAAATAATTTAAATACCTTAGAGCAATGACGCCTGGAAAATCACTAACTACATAATTTTCAAACAGATCTTCATTTACCTTCCGTACTAGTTAATGCTGCTTCCTCGTTACCCTCGCCAGTGACTCCCTGTTGAGTAATAATAATTGTGTTGTTATTTGGTTTTCCCTTTTTATAGTTACTGTATTGTTTTTCTCTCGTATTCTGAGGTTGCGAGTGTGTAAAGTCTTATTCATCAAGTTTGATACTACCCTTCCCTACTTCCCTCTCCACGATGGGATCACCAGAGAGCAAATAAAAGTACCACTTGTGTAACATTGACGAAAAAGTATAAACGTATTGCCTTAAAATCACTAACATTCGATACGCTAAGCAAAAAATTGATATGGAGATAAGTAACTTTTATAGAACACCCAGACACACAGCAACTTACCTCTTTGTCCAAAAATGGAAACCATGTTGCGAAGCGCTCGAGTGGAACCCTGTAATCTCCAGCAGTCGCAGACTTGGTGCACACAAGAGGCCTTTGACAATTGCGCAAGTGTGACTCCGACCAGAAGTGAAAGCATTCTTCTTCCTTGCATTTACTTACGCGATGGTTTTCACAATGTTCCACCGCCTTTCGTGTGCAACAGATCGGACAGCAAACTGACATCTCGTAAGCCATGTTCCTTAACCAATGAAACTCCTTCCGCATGCATTCCAGAATTAGTCCGAGTTGTCGGCACACAGTACGTGCAAACTCTATTTGAGAAGTATCGTGGCTGAATACAGATGGCAGATTCATCCCTTCATTCTTGGGAACCTCGGACATCCTTTTTCCTTGGTGAACAACAACCTCAATGGAAGAGGAACGGCTAAGAAGGACCAGAGAGATGGCTTTTGCTGGGTGAGTGTAAAACCTGACAAAATTGTAATGCAGTTGAGGGCGATCTTCGTTGTGACCTTCCCTCGTGCACCATTGCATGACCATCAGTACTAGGCGAGGAAAGAGTCCTATTGGCACTTGACCAGATTTAAACTTCACAAAAAGGGATGGAATGCCCGCAGATGAAAACAAATCTGTGACCTTCGTTGGTGGGGACATCAACAT